AAAACACTACTAACTTCATTTATGTTTAATCAACATACCATTCTATTTTGAAAATGAATCGGACATTAAATTAGGTCACATCATACCAGTGAAAATCGACCTAACTTTAATTTTCTTCACATCTAGGGACTGTCTAATTATAATCACTCAATGAGAGAATCAATAAATTTCACAGGTATAACACAGACACCCTGGATTCATCAAGCTATCTGGAAACAGAGACAACGTCTCGGGAAACAGACTCATTTCAAATATAACCGACTAATGGACTGTGACTATGGTTGGTGGTAAAAATTGAAAGAATGGAAGAGGACGAAATATTAATATTGTAAACATTGTAAAATATTAAAAACAATCCGAAAAAACAGAAAACGAACCTGCTGAATCGAATAAGGATGTACACCAAATATATCAGCACTAAGTGATTTGCAAAGAGGCAATAATATGGGCACATTGTAATGATCTGTCTTGTCTGTATGCGTTATGTATGACAGTGTAGAACCAAGTAGTTGGACACCTTCCTTAGCGAACACACCGTGCAGACACAACTCGGCGAGTAACCTGAACGAGTAATANCGCGTTCTAGTTTCATCTATTATCCAGAAACGCAACAGAATAATTACACTATTAGACAAATCACAGATGGACGCTATTTGCCACTGAACGCATCTAATTGATATAGAAGAGAAACATATCGGATATGCCAAAAAAGTCTAACAAATAATACCAATAGTAATACGACGATTGAGAGAGGAACACAAAAAATAGTGATTCCGAATGAGAAATAAAATAAACGCAAAGTTGAAGCGCACACCTCAGGTCGATTCGAAGTTTCGATGGATTTGTGATTTTGTCTGATCGGCGAATTGGGAGAATCTTCTTGAGCTCAGCAAGTAATATTGATGGGAAATCAGCGTAAAGCGACGACAACTGTACACAAATATTCACAACCGTCGCTATATCACTTGTTTTGATTTTTGCATCCGCTATCGAATTGGCCATCTCTTCAACAAATTTCGATAGATTAATCTGAAAGGTGAATCAACCTCGTTAGCGTTCTTTCATCCGAAATTGGGCAATGATAATCACTGTTATGATCTCGTTGCATTCTTAGCAATTCTCAGTGATTCTGACATACAATTATGTGCAATTTATAGTGAACAGGTTACCTTACCTTATCAAGATCGGCCAGAATCGTTGACTCTTGTGCTGCAGCAACATTCTTGAGTTTCTTCATGAACGCAGTGGTTCTTTTCAGAGTACTGTCCATCTTACGCAATTGCTCTTCACTAAGACATACTGCTAACCGCAGTTTTTCCCGATCTGATTGTTGCAAAGTTGCACGAGATTGCACTTCGCTCAGATACGATTCAACATGCTCACTCATCCTGCAATCATTATTCTTTGTCACACATAAATGCCGTTCACTTTATCCAGTGAACCGATAAATCTACAAATTAAGCGAACAAAACGATACCGTTACTAAATGACGCGACAAAAACAAAAACAGATATTCGTGAATTCGGCAGTTTTGGTCAAAGAGAAAGGTGCGGAGGGGGGTGGGGTGGTGAATTATTTATAATAAACAAAATCGCTAGATATCACCTATACTTTACAATACATTATATTTTATAAGATACTTTTTAAAAATCCCAAGTAATTCTATTGTACAGCACATAAAACCACCTGATTCATCTTGCCACATAACTAGTCTTGATTGCGTTCTGAATTTGAAATATTATCAAGTTGGTGAATTATTTTCAGTCGAATCAATAAGGAAAGCAAGCACAAAGCTTGAACACTTCATGTAAACACCAATAAGCATGCTTCATCTTTCAATCACTGTAACTACAACGAGCAAACTACACATATCAAAACGCTGTGAATCGAACCCATGCACTCTCGAATTCATGCACTCTCTCGCGTCTTCACATCACCATGCTCATGCAAGTGCACGTGCACAACACAATTAGAATTGTTATCATTCAAGAGCGTCGCGTGTAATTTTTTTCGTTTTTTTCTACACGTACGAAGTCATTTCGGAACGAATTTTTTTCATTATCACTCATTTCCAATACATTTTCTTTCAACGGAAATTTCTAAATACTACGAAGTCAATTCAGGAATCAGAAATATCACCAGAATCCTATGTACAACGTCAGAATAATGCGAATTAATGAGTCGTTTTTGATTAACGTGCACGTGTTATTTAACTAAATATGCTAGAAATCAAATCCAACTGAAGAATTTTAAGGGTACGAGCGACAGCCAACGCAGTCGAATGGACCGAGAATTCCAGGAGGACAACGAGACGAGCAATTCAACTGGTCGCTTTAACGGATCGGAGGTCAATCGACATTCTCAACAGGTAGTCCTCTTCTTAACAATTCTGTACCGTCCCAACCCCCGCCTCTTTAGATGAGACTTACCCATCCCAGCTATCGTTTCTTTCCCATTTCTCGCAACTGAAAACTGTCCGTTATGTGCGCCCAACCGTCCTAGAAATCCACAAATTTCGGCCGATTCAAAGTCTCGGATCTCGCTCTTGAACCCTTCTTAGCGCTGAATAAATTGAAATGAGCGACATTTGCAACCTCTCTCGGTGGCTTTTTGATAGGAAATATTACCAGGGAATAATTCTCTTCTCCAATTCGCTCCCGGGGATACCAGTGGAGTTGCTCATGGGTGAAGGGTTAAACTGAAGCGCACGCAAGGTGACCGGTTAAGACGGTCATCACACAACGAATCGCCGTTACGAGGGGAATACAGCACATCCTTTCATATCCGAATCCCCTCCTATGACGAGGGTCTGCGTCTCAATAAGAAGTTTTCCGCAGAGGAGATTTAAGTTATTCAAGACAGAACAGATAAAAATAATCAGTTATTAAGCGGTTTTATCCGAATATCTGAGACGCAGACCCTTGTATTTCCCCCGAGTGGAGTAAGTAAAGTCCATCCTCGCTTACTTTATATATGCAAATGTGCATATAAAGTAGGCGAGGATGGACTTCAATGTATAAAAATGGATGAATATCTTGATGTATGAAAATTTATCTCACATCTCCAAAGGGTGCGAGCTCCCCAGATTGAAAAACCACTATGTTGGATATGAGATTATAGCTGATGGAATAAATCACATCATAGAATCCAGGGGGTTCGGATATGAAAGGATGTGTTGTAATTCAGATGTGAGGCAAACAAAGCATTGACGTGAAATGGGTGATGATTATAGTGAGAATGAGGACAATTATAACAACACGGGTACCGATAATAATGAGGACAGGAATATTTTGAATGAATAGAATACCTATCAACTGTCGTGTAGATTAGATACCGCATACGTAGGTGTCATCTGCACAAGCAGAACATGAATAAATCAGTATAGCAAACAGAACACAACAAGAAGTTTCTAAATTAAGGAGGATTAAAATTAATTAGACGATACTCATACCAATAGTTAGCTGCCATCTGATAGGTACAGCATCATTTACTTAAATTTCGTATGTATTCCTTTATGGGTGATTTAATGATATTTGTTATATATTCAGAACGTTTGATGGTCAGAAATGCCTCGAATTGTATTTTATTTTATTATTTTACTGAATTGTATTTCATTTTATCTACTTCAGCTTCTATTTTTTATCTTGACATTGTATTACTTTACTATTTCACTATTGTTTTTAGATGTCCCAAATCCTTGGAATTTACATTTCCTTCGTATATTTGCTTGTGTAAATGTGGTTTTTCTTTTCATTTCTATAAATCCTTTAAAAGCAACCTGATTGTAATATTTGATTTCATTGTCATTCAAAATACTGTTTCTTTCAATTAGGAGGAATGGATTTTTTTT